GAATAACATATATTTCTCGCACCATCGCGTTTCGTAACAAAATTGTATACATATAAAGAAGTCGAGCAAAATAAGAATAAATAGGGGCAAAAACGAAAAAATAATCAATGACTCTAGAAAGGCTTGTTTTCAAACACGACACCATTAGTTGATGTGGATAACATATATTTCTCGCACCATCGCGTTTCGAAGCAAATTCGTGTACAATTAAAGAAGTCGAGGAAAATAAGAGTAAATAGGGGCGAAAACGAAAAGATAATCAACGTCTCCGGAAAGGCTTGTTTTCGACCACGGCACCATTATTTGATGTGAATAACATATATTTCTCGCACCATCGCGTTTCCAAGCAAATTGGTATACATTTAAAGAAGTCGAGAAAAATAAGAGTAAATAGGGGCAAAAACGAAAAATAATCAACGTCTTCGAAAAGGCTTGTTTCGAACACGACACCATTATTTGTTGTGAATAACATATATTTCTCGAACCATCTCGTTTCTTAGCAAAATCATATACATTTAAAGAAGTCGAGGAAAATAAGAGTAAATAGGGGCAAAAATGAAAAAATAATCTACGTCTCCGGAAAGGCTTGTTTTCAAACACGACACCATTATTTGATGTGGATAACATATCTTTCTCGCACCATCGTGTTTCGAAGAAAATTCGTATATATTTAAAGAAGTCGAGGAAAATAATAGTAAATAGGGGCAAAAACAAAAAAATATTCAACGTCTACGGAAAGGCTTGTTTTCGAACACGACACCATTATTTGATGTGGATAACATATCTTTCTCGCACCATCGTGTTTCGAAGCAAATTCGTATACATTTAAAGAAGTCGAGGAAAATAATAGTAAATAGGGGCAAAAACGAAAAAAATAATCAACGTCTACGGAAAGGCTTGTTTTCGAACACGACACCATTATTTGATGTAAATAACATATATTTCTCGCATCATCGTGTTTCAAAGCAAATTCATATACATTTAAAGAAGTCGAGGAAATAAGAGTAAATAGGGGCAAATACGAAAAAATAATCAACGTCTCCGGAAAGGCTTGTTTTCGAACGCGGCACCATTATTTGATGTGAATAACATATACTTCTCGCATCATCGCGTTTCGTAACTAAATTGTATACATTTAAAGATGTAGAGGAAAATAAGAGTAAATAGGGGCAAAAACGAAAAAGTAATCAACGTCTCTGAAGAGGCTTGTTTTCGAACACGACACCATTATTTGATGTGGATAACATATATTTCTCGCACCATCGCGTTTCGATACCAAATCGTATACATTTAAAGAAGTCGAATAAAATAAGAGTAAATAGGGGCAAAAACGAAAAAATAATCAATGTCTCCAGAAAGGCTTGTTTTCGAACACGGCACCATTGTTTGATGTAAATAACATATATTTCTCGCACCATCGCGTTTCGTAACAAAATTGTATACATTTATAGAAGTCGAGCAAAATAAGAATAAATACGGTCAAAAAGAAAAAAATAATCAACGTCTCCGGAAAGGATTGTTTTCGAATACGACACCATTATTTGATGTGGATAACATATATTTCTCGCACCATCGCGTTTCGAAGCAAATTCGTGTACATTTAAAGAAGTCGAGGAAAATAAGAGTAAATAGGGGCGAAAACGAAAAGATAATCAACGTCTCCGGAAAGGCTTTTTTTCGAACACGACACCATTATTTGATGTGAATAACATAAATTTCTCGCACCATCGCGATTCCAAGCAAATTCGAATACATTTAAAGAAGTCGAGGAAAATAAAAGTAAATAGGGGCAAAACCGAAAAAATAATCAACGTCTTCGAAAAGGCTTGTTTTCGAACACGACACCATTATTAGATGTGAATTAGATAGATTTATAGCACCATCGAGTTTCGAAGAAAAATTGTATACATTTAAAGAAGTCGAATAAAATAAGAGTAAATAGGGGCAACAACGAAAAAAATAATCAACGTCTCCGAAAAGGCTTGTTTTCGAACACCCATTATTTGATGTGAATAACATATATTTCTCGCACCATCGCGTTTCGTAACAAAATTGTATACATTTAAAAAAGTCGAGGAAAATAAGAGTAAATATGGGCAAAAACAAAAAAATAATCAACGTCTCCGGAAAGGCTTATTTTCGAACACGGCACCAATATTTGATTTGAATAACATATATTTCTCGCACCATCGTGTTTTTGAAGCAAATTTGTATGCATTTAAAGAAGTCAAGGAAAATAAGAGTAAATAGGGGCAAAAACGAAAAAATAATCAACTTCTCTGAAAAGGCTTGTTTTCGAACACGGCACCATTATTTGATGTGAATAACTTATATTTCTCGCACCATCGCGTTTCGAAGAAAATTCGTATACATTTAAAGAAGTCGAGGAAAATAAGAGTAAATAGGGGCAAATACGAAAAAATAATCAATGTCTTCGGAAATGCTTGTTTTCGAACACGACACCATTATTTGATGTGAATAACATATGTAATATCCTGTCAGATTAGTAATATAAATCATGTTTTAGTTCCGATATAATAATGTTGTCGAGTATTATTTTTCAGAATTTATTATTTTCAGTCAAGATTTCCCGAGATTATTTTCGACATCCCGTTTACGTTCGGAATAATTTTGGTAATTAAGCATATGCTTAGTAATTAATTAAGCATAATGTAGTGATTAATTAACAATTAATCACGCTTTATAAGTTAAATGCCGTGAGTTTAAAGTGATTTTTCCCCAATTCTTTCCATATTGCCGTAGCAAATTTTCCCAAAATTATTTCAATATTGCTGTGAGGTTTCTTCAAGGGAAAGGAGCTATTTTTCTCTCTTTTTGGAAAGCATGAGGTGGCAAGTTATAAGGGTGATTAGTCATCCACAAACCTCTATCTAGTCTCCAAGTGTTAAGCTATTGTTAAGAGACCAAATCACCTCATCATCCCAAATTCTTTTTATCTCTTCGGTTAGTATTTAAGGGGAGACTTGGGGGAAAAATTTTCCCATCTTCTTCAGCATCTATTCTAGTATATTATAAGAGATAGAGAGTTAGGGAGATTTGAGAGTTTTCCTCCAAGCATAGTGGTTACCGTAAGCATAGCACGCGCGCCGCACATCACCGCACGCCGAGAGCTTAGCACCGCACGAAAGCTCCGATTCTTCCAAGCAATTAGAGTAATCAGTCGAGGATTCAAGAAGGTAAATTCATTTTACTTGAGTTATGTTAGCTCCGGTTGTGCTATGATCATGTTCATGTTACGGCTTAAGCCGTTTGTGCATGCGTGTAGTCCATTTAGAGCATGTCATGTTTAATTCGAATTTCTCGAGCAAACCTTATGTATTCAGCCATATTATGTAATATCATGTTCAGATAAGCTTAAGTGCTCGAGGGATTATTCATGTTAATCATTAAATCGGCCGAGGGGCGTGGTCGCGCACG